CAAGTCAGGACTATTCCGGATCCTCATAAGGAAACCAGTAAGGAAAAGAAGATCCAAACATGAAGGAAGAAAGATCCATTACGGAGGTGTAATCCAGGTCGCGCAGGAGGTAAGCCGCAATGGCCTCCTGCACCACATGAGGCAGGATGCCGAAAACCTCCGGAAAGATGGGACCGAAGAACCCAAGAGAGCACAGAACAGAACCCGGGGAGGGATTGATGCCAAATCCAACTTGTACGAGGAGAGAGGAAAAGAAAACCCCCACTCCCTGTAATAGGAAGCCCCGCTTGGAGGGTTCAAAACCCCAAAGAAGGTCCAACGAGACCCAAGGTCCCCAAGTTAACCCTTTCCCCGCCCCGAGAAACGTCCCCACGAGGATCCGGGGCCGAGCCATCCTCCAAATCCCCTGCCTCAAAAGGAAAGGCAGGAGCTGCCGAAAAAGCAGGAATGAAGGGAGCCCACTGGTCAGTCCCAGAAGCTCCGGCTGGAGGAACATGCTTGAATGCCTCCATTGCCACACCAGAAGTGGCATCCCCCAAAACTGCCCTAGTCTCAACACCAACTAAAACCTGCCCCGACTCCGAGACCCTCAGACGCATCGGAGCCAGAAGCAGGGAAAGAGGAGCAGAACAAACAACAGAAGGGAAAGGACAAGGGGGCGCAGACTGAACCAAAGTCGAAACAACTATTACACCCCCCCCCCCCCCCAAGTCCGGATCCCTATAACCAAAATGGGGCAGTCATGCAGCATTCGGGGTAGCAACCAACCTAGCACGTTGCAGCAACCTAAACCGAGCCTGCAACGCCGAAGCTGCCTGCACCCTAATATTATGATCATGTTTAAACTCGCACAAAGTGAAAGGAGACCCAGGGATCACGTCCATCGGACCGAAGTGACCCCGTGGGGTTTCCCAGGACCCTTAGTCGCGTTTTCTCGCTAAGAGAAGCCCAGGCAGGGTACTGCTAACCGGCACCCAAAGTTACCAAGGAAACTGCTAAAGCTGAACCTCCAGGATGTGTACATTCACAGGGGCCTAGTGGAGGACCACCAAGATATAAATGGGTGTAACCAAAACCAAGGGTCAGACCCCCACCAGGCAGGGGATAACAAAAACAAAAGAAAATCCCCGCAAGAGGACAACGTACTCAGGCGAACCAGAACCGGCTGCTATGAGTGGTTGAAAACTAGCTGCACAGTACCCTGTGCCGCATGGAACAATGAAGACCTGGCTTAATTACCTTTAGTTTGAGGCTACCACGTGCTCTAACCGGTTCACCCTATATAATGACATTAATGGCCATAAATGAAAATAAACGGGTTTCGGAAAGAACACTTAACTTGATTTGTTGACAGCATGTTGATAATGGTACACCTTTGGTTTCCATAACACAACGTCTAAGTAAAATTAACAGGAGCCGAATTTGCTCCCGTGCCTCTGGTCTCAGTATAAACAATGGCTGCCCTCCCTCACCCTGACGCCTAGCTTACATTGTCCAGATGTCAATAAGTGATAGAAGGGTCACATTTACTCTAATATTGATAATTAAGTTAATTTATATGAGATGTTTTTATAATGGTAAAGTCCAAAGACTAATGTATTTAAGAATAATTCCCACCATAATAGGTGGTGAATTATAATAGTGTGTGGTGATGATATCCCATTTTCTATAGACGGTAATTCCACTACAAGTTACGTTTTCTATGGGTAACTTGTTGGTAATACAGCAGCAATTATTATCTGTCTGTATGATATATTAAATGGTGTCGGATTTTCCGACAGCCCCAATTAGTAACGAAACTACCCTCTACCCAGAGGCAAAAAGAGGTGCAAGAAACACCCTAGCTGACTCCAAGGGTGGTCAATCACCGAGCAGCAAAAGACCTGGCAGAGGTAGACCACAAGATGATTTGTGGAAGGTGGCCCCAAGCCTCAAGGACAGTACTTACAGGGCACCTAGGGAAAGGGACCCTAGGCGCATGGCAGTCCGAGTACTTGTTGAATAACTCCTGGCTTGCACAGCATCACACAACAAAGGCACATAACTGGAAACACTGGAGCCAGAGGCGAACGACCTTGCCAGTTCACATAAGCCACATTACAGGGTGGATAGCCGGTGCGGTGCATGGTTCTGGAGCCACCCCTCCATTCCCCTTCCAGGGCGGGGGGTGGGGGGGGAAGTGCACAGACAGTGACGCTGTGACATGATGCTCTTTTTCATTTGGGGAGTTCTGTCCACAAGTTCGGCTTTCAGTAGCAATATTTTAACCAGAATAAGGATTTGTTTTGGGTTGCATATCTTTCTGGGTGCCAGACCCGGTCAATGACACACATAGAATGCTTCCAACCACAGGAGGATTTCTATTGGCTATTGCTCCTTGTGCCTCTCTGAGGGGGGGGGGGCCCTAGAACTCCATGTGCATTGACTGATGCCAGGGTCTAATACATTCATATCAGCCCGGTTAGCTCCGGGAAGCCGAAGGGGCTCCCTCCAGAAATGACTAGGATTCTGAAAATAGTAGTATTGTGGTGATAATTAGCGATGCGCGTAGTATTGTGGGAGGAGTAATCTTGGTGAGGGAGGTAGCGTCGTTTGCTGACTCAGTGTAGCAACCTGTTATTGACTGGACTCAGTATACCAGCTTAGGTGGTTCGGTATGGTGAACACAAATGTTGATATTTATTGATAATGTGTGTACATAGTGTAATAACAGGAAAAGAAGCATGTTGGGAGGAACCATTTTTGTGAGGGAGGTGGCGTCGTCTGCTGACTGGTGTGTGACTTGTCATGCTGTGTAGGGTGGCCACTATGCTGTTTGGACACCATACCAGCTTATATGTATGTGAACAAATAGTGAACAAAACATGTAGATACTTTTATAAAACGTGTATATAGCGTAATAACAGCACAACAAATTATGGTTGGATGAGGAATGTAGATAAGGGAGGGAGGAAGTGTCAGCTGACTGTGTGTGGCAACCTCTATTATTGTCTGAACTCACCATACCAGTTTAGTGGTTTGCTATGGTGAACACAAATTTAGATACACACACACACACATATATATATATATATATATATATATATATATATATATATATATATATATATATATATATATATATATATATATATATATATATCGTACCTTCAAGAGATTGAGCCTGCTCTTCCCTCCAAAAATACGTCGATACATCTATATAAAACTACTATGCAAAAAATGTCCAACAACGACAACAACATCTCCAAGGTTTGCCAGAGCGCAAAACGTATGCAGCCAGGGACACCTGCTTCACCTCAAACCGCCAAACTACCTGTCTTGTTGCCGGCTCCTCGCTGATTGGCCGCCGGTCTGGCTGCAACTGCACTCCACCCACCATACTACTCGATGTCTGGGGCCGCCACGACCTCAGTCCTCAGAATATTCAGTGCTTTCATACGGTTAACACTTCTTCCTGGTAGACTGAGCTTTGGTTTACGTGTACTAAGAGAGGTGATAGCTTAAAGCCAATATTCCTGCACCTCTCATTTTATTGTATATTGCACAGCTTGTTATTGCTCCCTTGTCTTAACGTAACTTTTCATTTTGTCATTTATTCTTATTATTTTGATTGATTGATTTTATTATACGAATTTGTATGTCCATTTTATTCATGTTTTGTTTATCTAACGTAATTAAAATTTCATTGTTAAAATTTACTTGTGTTTTGTGTGTCTTCTCCTTACCTTACCACAGACGAAGTTCCAGATTTTCTATTTTTTTTTATTCTATGTGACGAGGCCATACCCCTAGCTTTGAACAGCCGAACACCAACGCGTTACGTTATATATATATATATATATATATATATATATATATATATATATATATATATATATATATATATATATATATATATATATAATATACATCTGTATATAATGTTATAACAGAAAAAACAGTGTGCGGGAGGAGGAATGTTGGCGAGTGAGGTATTGGTGAAGGAAGGAGGGACGGAGGTGGCGTCTGCTGGCTGATGTGTGGCGGCCACTCATGTTGTTTGGACTCACCATACCAACTTAGTGGTTCGTGATGGTGAACAAAACATGCAGACACATATATATAACGTGTATATAGTGTAATAACAGCAAAACTATTGGTTATTGTTGTAGGAGTATAATAATTGAATCACTAATATCCACGCCATAGTTTTGAGTATGGCGATGGTTCACACATTTTATTATCTAAATATATCACACTACACGCTATTGAATAATATTACTGCAACAAAACAGAGGAAAAAATCAATGAGACATTGAAATAATTTGGTAATAATACCTTTGTGCAACTCCCGCTTGACAGCACACATGGGGCAGACCGCCTCCAACGCTTACTCTTTCAACACTTCAATTTTCCCAGACTTTCTCGCCCTACTGCGGCAAAAATATATCGCCTACGATTATTTATTATTTTTCACGTGGTCAGGGAACACAATTTAACAATCTTAGAAGAAAATTTTATTTTTTATTTTTGTTTTGTTTCACTACCTATACTGTAAATAAGAAATTAAGTATGGGTTTCGCGAGTTCGTACACTAGGGGTACTACTTTCAAGCTCGTAACCTTACACAGAAACGTCGTCGTTTCTTCATCTTCTGGTGTGTGATTTGGTCATCTAAAGCTAGACTCAGAGAGCCACCGTTCAGCCTCAACAGAAATAAGAAAAAGCATTTAATGAAAATTATTTTGCATGATGAACTGATGATCTGGATTTCACAGCAATCTTCCATGTAAGATCCAAGTTTTTTTAGACATCTGAATTCGAAGGAAAAACCCAGTGTACAAATTTGGTCTGGATATTTGCCCAATCCCTTATATCGGGTCCAGGTTTTCAGGATACCACTAATAGTGGTATCCATCATCAGCATAGCTGGTTCAAGTGACATAAAAAATTTAATAACTCAAAAAGTGTTTGATGAACACTATGCTTCAAAGAATATACAAATAGTGAGCTTAACTTACTTCTCCTATTGTTCTTAGTACCAAGCGAAATCTGAGTTCAATATACAGCTCCTTTTTCTCCTCAAGTCTTCCAAAAGAGCAGTTAAAGAGCACATACTCTGTAGTTTTGCCTGGCAGTATTGACTCTGGAACACTCCTGAGGGAAATATCAAGAAGCATAAATGATACATTTTAAATATATAGAATGCAGAAGTATATACAGAGGAACCTCGGTCTAGGAACTTAATCCGTTCCAAGAGACGGATTATGCCTCAAAAATTCGTACACCAAATCAAATTTTCATATAAGAAATAATGTAAATTTAATTAATCAATTCCACATACCCAAAAATATTAACTTAAAAATACAGATTATACAAAAGTACATTTTATACATAACACTACTCATTTTTCCTACACAAAAACAATCCGGAATATATATAAACTGTAAATAAAATAAATGAACATTTAACTGCACTTTACCTTTACTGAGGACTCGTTAGAGTATGGAACGTGGTGAGGAGGGAAAAAGAGGAGTGGTCTTGGTGTATGGAAGACGGTGATGAGGATGGGGGGGGGGACGAGGACAGGTGTTAGTGTTTGGAAGGTGCGTTCCCTTCAATTATAACATCAACCCATCCCCTGCTCTCCTTAAAAGCTTTCATATCTGCATCAATCATTCTAGATTTTCCCTTCACACATTACAATACCTCTTACGAAATAGCTAGTTGACATGTTCATAGCAAATGGCACCATCCGTTTGCACGCGCTGCGTTTCATACGCCAGCAGTATGTAAGCAACAGAGAGCGTACAGGACGCCCGCCATGTTTGGATGCTGGTAGTCACGTATCAGTATAAGTATTAAAATTAGTAACCAAGCAATGACTTCATATCAACCCTACGACCAAGACTTCCACAGCAACACAGAACACCACACTGGCGACGAAGATGAACAGTGAACGCAGGGGTTCCTCCAGCTCAAAACACAAGGAAGAAGCATGTTATCTCGCCCGGAGGACGAGAAACCGTGCTGTCTGTGAGCACCAAACCAATGCTGTGTGCTGGCCAATGCTGTGTGCTACCAACGCTTTGTGCTAACTGAAGCTTAGTGCTGACAAGCTGTGTGCTGAGAAGTTATGTGCTGACTGAAGCTGTGTGCTGAGAAAGCTGTGTGATATCTATCGATGCTGTGTACAAAACCGATGTTTTGTGTATAAAACGACGCTCTGTGCTACACAATTCTTCATGCTGTGAACTGTCTGCTGTGTTGACAGTGCCGAAAACTCATCAAACAACTGATGAGCCAACTGCTGTGCCAGCTCCAATGCCAACTGATGTGCAGCTGTGAGTAGGAACAACACCTAGGTAAGGCTAGGTAAGCCTAGCCTTACCTAGGCCTAGCTCACAAGGCTAAGTAAGAGGTTAGTTGCTGCTGTACTGTACACTGTTGTGAACTTTTGCATTAAAATGCTTGTGTGCTGCTGCAAGATTACAGTTAGCTAACATACACAGTGCAGTAAGTGTTTAGTATTCTGAGGAACAATAAAGTGATAATTTTACATTTATACAGTAAAAATGGCAAATATACCTTATTTTCCTGCATTTAATCCTGACTGTGACCAGACAAACCTGTCAAAGAGGTGGTCCAAATGGCTTAAAAGGTTTGAAATTTTTTTAATAGTTTCAGACATCAAAAGTGTTGAAACTACTTTTGTTTGAAAAGTGTTGTACTTCATTATGTACGTGATCGAGTTTGTGACATTTTTTAATACACTGAAAAACACTGGTGGTGACAAAGATTATGACACTACCAAAGCCAAATTAAGTGAATAGTTCAAACCTAGACAAAACACTGCTATGGAAATTATGAATTTCAGGAGAGCCAAACAACTCTCTAATGAAACTGTAGATCAATACCACACACGTCTGCAGGGTTTAGCAGCACATTGCGAGTTTGCTGATGTTGACAAAGAAATCAAACAGCAAATAATTGAAACATGCACATCTACACGTCTCCGTGAAAGAGCTCTAAAACTTGTTGATGATGACTTGTTCTCTTACCAAGATACTAGACATTGCTCGTTGAATGGAAGATGATGCACGTGATGCTCGTGTCGTGAAGTGCAGTGCCAACAACGGTTTTGCCAGTGTTATTAGCAGTGATGAGGTACGTAAGGTTCAGGGAGGACACCGAGATCATAGGTGGTATCATGGCAAACCCAACAGCAATTTGAGCCGAGAACCACATCACAACTGGGGTCAAGGGACAAGACTCGAGCAGTCACAACGACCCACATCAGAGGGTGTCAACAATAAATGTTACAATTGTGGAGGAGACTACCCACACCAAGGTAATGCTTGTCCCGCTCAAGGTAAGAAGTGCTGGAAAACTAAGTCATTTTGGTGCTATGTGTCATTCCGCACTAAAACAAAACAATCAGTGAAGTACTGTACGAGGATCAGGTCTTAGGGGGTCGAGGTGACAAACACAGTATTGCACCTCATATCCAGAATGTTAATAATATACAATACAACATGTCATTACAACTAATCTCAGATGACAGTGAATGTGATTACATTTATGGAGTACAAGCAATCACAGAATGGAATAATCTTCCAAACAACCCAGAGACTATGTTATACATTGCTGGTATTTGTCTCAAAGTTCTCATTGACGCTGGATCAAACATTGACACCATTGTTGAGTGTCACTATGAGAAATTCAAAAAACAGTTCTCAAAGCTTCAGAACTACAATGGTAAAGCCACTGCCTAAGCTTCAAAGTAGCCTTGCCAGTGATTGTTACTTGCACAGCAGAGATTAAGTCAGAGTGCAATGATCATTACTACATTCTTTGTTGTTAAGAATGCAAAGGAGTCTCTACTCAGTTAGAAGACTTCAACCAAATTGGGGCAACTTCAGCTTTCTAATGCTGTAGCAGTGGAATCTGCAAACAATGTTCATGCTATTGTTGCTGAATTCTCTGGTCGATTTAATCACATAGGTTGTTAGTTCATCTGCACATCAACCAAGATGTAATTCCAGTTGCCGAGGAATATTACACTCTGTAACCTGTGATGCAGTCCCTAAGGCTCTCACTCTTGATGAAATCCGTACTGCGACCCTAGAGAACCCAACTCTGCAACCAACAGTGGATGCATTGACCAAGAAAAAGTTTCCAAGGATCCTACCCTCAGGAGTTGACCAAGATACATTCAAAACACTTGAACGTATCCAGACAGAATTACGTGTTACGCAACAATGCAACACCGTGCTGCGAGGTACTCGTATCGTCATTCCAGCAGTTCCCAGCAGCGAGCTCTGAAGCTTGCACATCAAGGTCTTGTTAGGACCAAACAGCTGCTACAAGAAAAGGTGTGGTTTCCTGGCATAGCTCGTCAAACAAAAATCTTGCATGATACCTGTGTTCCTTGTCAAGCTGCAGTGGATACTTCAAGACCAACACCTCTACAACCTTCACCACTACCTGCTGCACCATGGACGGAAGTATCATGAACTTCCGCGGACCGCTACCAACTGGAGAGTACTTGATGGTAGTCATTGATGATCACTCACGTTATCCAGAAGTAGAAATTATCACTTCCACATCTGCAAAGGCTGTCATCCCAAAACTCGACAAGATCTTTTCAAATTTTGGCGTTCCTGAAGTTGTCAAGATGGACAATGGACCGCCATTCAATAGACAAGTCTTCGTCAACTTTGCTGAGCATATTGGATTCAAACACCGCCGTGTGATGCCACTACATCCTCAAGCAAATGGAGAAGTAGAGAGATTCGTGCAACCTCTCATGAAAGTGGTACGTTGTGCTCATGCTGAAGGACGATCCTGGAAACATGTTATGTATGCTTTTCTCAGGAACTACCGCGCAACACCGCATGGAACACTGGGTAAGTCGCCTGGTGAACTCTTATTTGGACGCCCTATGAGGATCACACTACCTGTCATGCCAACACTACCGATAAGTGTCATGCCAACACTACCGTTTATCATGACGTTTATCATGTCATGATAAACGTCTCGCTCAGAAGGATGCATCAGTCAAAGGCAAAATTAAAACTGCTCATGATCAACGTGCAAAGGAACAATTTATTAAGGTTGGAGACACTGTTCTAGTTAAAAAGAAAAAAGGGGGAAAGTTAGATATGCCATATCATATAAAACCATATATAGTGATTAGTGTAAAAGGAACTATGGTAACAGCGAGTAATAGAGATCATATTATAACACATAATATGGCTTATTTCAAAGTGATTCAAGCTTGTGTAGAAAATGATGAAGTCCAAAGTCGTACAAACGATAAAGAAAAAATTAATTATAACTCGAAAAAAAATTCATCAAAGGATATTCTTGTACTTAAGGACTCTCGTCCTAATCGTCATGTTAAACGGTCTACGCGATTTGCTGATTAATTGTGTTCCTATGTAATGCAAAGTATTTACTTATTATGCTAAACTAAACTTAATAGTGTTTGAATAATGCAGATCTCTCATTCAATATTTTGAAACTTTGTAGTACAGATTCATTCATTTTGTTTAACATTGCATTTGTATTTTTAACATTGAAATCCTTTGTGGTAAAGATTAAATTGTTTAAATTCTTTGTATCCTTAATTAATGTAACATCTATACAACATCGTTTTATATGTTAATAACTTACTTTGTGTCAATTACGTTGCTTAGTGCTACAAACATTGTAGACATCCTGTATTCATTCTTTTTTAAAGAAAAGGAGGGATGTCATGTTCATAGAAAACGACACCATCTGTTTGTATGCACTGCGTTTCATACGCCAGCGGTATGTAAACAACAGAGAGCGTACAGGACGCTTACCAAGCTTGGACGCTGCTAGTCATGTATCAGTATAAGTATTAAAGTCAGTAACCAAGCAATGGCTTTATATCAACCCTACGACCAAGACTTCCCCAGCAACACAGAACACTAAACCAGTCAGAACCAGTCATTTACAGTCACAACAAGTCAGTCACTTAAGCATTCAGTCAGTCAAGCATTCACAGTCGAGACCAGCCACAGGCAGTCATAACCATAGGGAGTCAAGCATTCACAGTTGTGGTAGCAACCAGTTAGGTGTTTACCATCAGTCAGGAATTTACAGTCAATCAGGAAGTCACAATCGCA